ATCTACTATCTCAAATTGCGCATGTATCCAATACATAATATGTAGTGGCAGAACATGCAGAGATTCATCTCTGAACACTACGATACATGTTGCCATTCCAGAAATGCAAGTGCCGAGATTGTCCAGTGCCTCTTTGTGGGTTTTCCCCCTGCTTTCTATCAATCCTGCTACCCATCACGACATCCCGGGATCAATAGCAAGATGAATGTCTTTGTTAAAATATGAACCAGTGCCCTAACAAGGTTTTGTGGAGATTACATCTCCAAAAAATTAATTGACTCTGGATCATGCACACATAATCTCAATGCTTCCTGCAGATTTCCTTTTTTTATTTTGCACTCAGCGCATGTCAAGGTTATTGCTGCATGAATGTGGTCAAACTGGGGCCACCTACCCTGACCCAAATTGTGCTATAAAATATTAACTCGCCAGTTTTGTATGCCAAGGACATGCACAATAACTAAGCAATTGCACACACACACACACACACCCACGAAACCCCACACTGACGGTATCCTCTAGAAATATATTATGGAAGCATTGTGGTTTTAACAGCTTCACAATTTCCTTGCACGAATGTGAGATATTCTGACAAGTGTTTTTGTCCCCCGCCTACCCTCACGCCCCCTGACTTGAAAAAAATGAAATGAATAGTCTGGAGTTAGCAATTTATACCTGTGCTGCTACCGAAGCCCTCGTTTTTTAAGAGTGCACCTGGTTACAATTGTCATCAGGAGCGCGCAAACTGCGAGCCGGGAGGGCAAGAGCTGACTTGGAGTGAGAAGCCTGTCTATCGTATGCCTCTATAAAGCCATGTTGTTCACGTAATAGCAACAATTATGGAATAATCATAAACTGTGGGGAATATCGTCTGTTGTAGGGTGCGTTTATTTCATATAGCCGTGAAGTCCATAAAGGTGTGTTCATATACTCCCATGGAAACATTTCAATACCCAACGCTGTAAGGTTGTGGTGCTTATGTGGTCATACTTCACCAGTTTGACTTGGTGAAGGTAGGGAGCATGATACATTACAACACTGAGCTTTTGTGCATTGACCTCTGCTGCCAACAAGACCCAGCAGCAGCAGCAGCCTATAACACCTGTTTTATGGATTGCGGTCACCCATCTAAGCACTATCCAGACTCAAAGCTACTTTGGCTACCGAGACGTGATGAGTTCAGGCGCACTCTGGGTGAAATTAAGTTGCATTCAACCTCAATCCTTCCACTGCGTTGACAATTACAGGATCGTAAAAAATGCCATCGGATTGGCGAGGACTTCATCCAGCAGTAGTCTGACCATGGCTGATGGCGATGGTAACTCCATCGGCAATGGCCAATGCTTGCGACACGTAAATGGTTGAGAGTATCTTTACGCAACTGAGCGAGCTGCAGATTTATACCTCAATCAGTCCAAGTAAATGCCAGGGCCCAACAGTGCAATTATAACCAAGGTACAGGGTTACTATTTTCTGCTCACAAAAAAAACAATACCTACCTACAAATGTCAAAATGCTCCCAACCATCCTTATAATTCATACTTAAAACATAAAGAACAATTACTTGCAAGATGTCCATGTGCTTGATCGTGGTCTCCAAGGAAAGCACCGACACTCTCCACCCACACGAAGACAACACGAATTCTGACTAAAGCAGTCATTGGATTCTATTAGTTGCTGCCCTAAATTGAAAAATTGGCAGCAATATTGAGCTCAACATTTGCTATTTTGCGCATACGACGACGATGATAAAAAAAAGAAATATGCTTAAAAGCATTAATTGGCCTGCTTGAAGAGTTATTCAAATACTTTTTGATTATTAAATAAGTAAAAATGCAGCAGATTCACAAGAGCAAATGCAAGTATATATAGTATACCACTGTATAGGAAAATATGAACACCATTCAGCTATTGATCAGGCCTTGTATACCAAGTGCTGCACAAAGGGAGATCCGAGTAACATTCGCAATAAGGCCGGACAATAGTCTGCACAACTAATGTCATTTAGCAGGAAATAGGAGAGAGAGAGATAAAAAACGTAAACACGTTACATTAACCACCGCGGCCATTATGCAAGCACGTAAGTTGGAGGAGCATCTTCCCCCTTCATTGTGCGCGTATCAAAGAAAGAGCTGATGAGGATCTGCTAAGTGCCAAGATGCGTATCCCCATTTGCTGAACAAAGCTCACGGGTCTCGTCAAAAAAAGTAGTGACTCCGGCACATTTGGGGGGCGGCTCGTGCTAGGTGTGCTCTTGGATTCGCGTGCGCACAGCTCGTAATTGAGGGAGGCAGAAATGGACGGACGGAACATTTAACTGGCTCGATGTGCATTAGTGTCCCTCTCGCGGCAACCTCTTTCAGTGGCTTCCTGTTCTCAATAGCGGTGGAGTGGCTCGCCGAGAGAGCGCACAAGCTGTTGCTAACGGCAGATTGGTGGAGTTATTTACTCCAGAGCAGGACATCAAAATTGAACCCGAAAATGAACTTTTAGAGACATTGGCGGCAGTTTTTCAATGGGTTTACAGCACTTTAATGGACTTATCCAAGGCAATTAAGGGATAGCACAGTGCGTACATGAACAAAACAAACAAAAAAATCATGCAATTTCTATTTGTAATATTGAATCATCGTTTGCTGTCACAGACAAAAAATATGTTAGTGCTCTCTCTCTCTGTCTGTCGGTCATTAAAAACATGTTCTTATTCTCCGTTAGCCCGTGTTCCATCATGACACCATCTATCATGACTCGGGCTAATACAATTCCTCACAAAACAACAAAACACATTCATCACGCTCGTCTGCCCCCCTCCACACATTGTACATTATCTCCAAGGGGCCGCTGATTCAAAGCAGCGGCCGCTCGCAAGATAGATGGCCTGAACCCAACAACTACCAGGGGTTATAGAGAAATACCGTCGGCAATGGCGCCGGCGGCCCCCTTCTCTTGGAGGGAACACATTTAGCGGCCGCTCTAAAGATGAGTTACTGGGAAGCCGTCGCGTCGGCGGCGAGGTTGTGAAATTGAAGAATAGCGGTTTGGAACAGATGGCGACAGGCTGTGATTGCATGGTGAAGCGAGCACAGATCCACGGCAACGACCCACACAGCCACACTCGGATGCACTTCCATTGTTTGCTTGAGGCCTTCATCACCACAAATTACTCTGAGGCCTCCGACATGTCTTTTGCGGATGTTGTGGTGGGGGGAGGCGGAAAGAAAAGAAACCGCGCGCGAGTTTCGGTTTCTAAGCGGAGGTGAAGAAACTAAAATGCAGTGTGGACATTTTAGTATGTTGTGCTTTTAAATCACCGTTGCTGAGCACGGGCCCAAGAGGCCCGATATTCCCAAAATGCCACGCGGCTAGCAACAAACAGCACGGTTAAAGGTGCAATAAATGATGTGGTGATGCTGCGTTGGCAGTGCTACACACGCACAAATAACAACTAAACATTCGTCAATAATACGTGGCCTGAAATGAACAAGAAATATATATCATTGGCGACGTTTCAGACAATGGCTCTTCTTCATGTGCTATGAAGAAGAGCGATTGCCCAAAACGTCGCTCATTAAAAAAAAATATTACTGACGAATGTGCCGAGTTCTTTTTTTCTGAAAGGTGTATTAGTTAAGAGTCCGCATGTTTCTCGAATTGAGAAAGAATGTGTGTAGACTTTAAAGATAGCAGCTGTTTTTTGTTTAATGCTGTGCTTCAAAAACAAATGGGAGCAAAATCAGCAAGGACAATTTTTTAATAAAAGACTTTAAGCCGATTCGTTTTCACATTTTACTCTTGAGTGGTGATATGTTACAGATGACAACAGTAATGATGATTGGATGATTTTCTTGCTACCAGTAAATACGTAATTAACTTTAAAGATCGCCTTGACTTTCAGTGGCTAAAGAGACATGGATATAATAAGGTCAGGCAGCGCAAAGGGCCACGCAGAGGTCATTCTGAAATACCGTGGTGAGTGTTGGGCCAGCTCATTAACCAGGACCCATTATTGGCTACGCTGAGCTTGGATGAGAATGCAATTCCATTTGTAACGGCAAAGATCATCGTAAAATTCAACTGTCAACATTCATAAATCCACAATTCTCTAAACTACCATACACATACGGCCTGATTGGTACCACAAGCCAGCAGCAATGCTGCATGCTAGAGGTTTGATTTGGAGGGGAAAAAAACTGTTGGTGCCTTAAGATAATAGATTGTGCAAAGGAGTAAGGCACAACCCCATGCAGAAAATCAGTGACAACGTCTAAGAGATTGCTGAAATTGAACCCACTGAACTTTACGAAACCGCAGTAGTTTCACGAGTGGTTTTCTAGTTCATTGAACACGGGATTCAGCTCCGCAGAAGCAATATTTGTTCGAACGAATGGGCTGGAAAAAACTACAACCATATGACTCCATCTATCTGAAGAGGCGATGCACAATTGGAATTCTTCATTTCCAATGAAGCCAAATCATGTTGTTCTTTTGAAAACTATGATATAACGCCACCAAAATCGACTGGCTCATCGTAGAGTGCAATCATCATCAGCCATGCTCAATCCACTGCTGGATGAAGTCTTCTCCAAGCCACCACCATCTCCCATAATCCTGCGATTATTTAGTCCAACTAGCTCCTGCACGCTCCATCTCCGAGACAGACGCCCTTTCGGACGTGTTACACTTCTTGGATGCCACTCCGTCACTATTCTTGAACCTTCCTTCTCGAAAAGTGTCCTGCCGAAGCCCACTTACTTCTTAGAAAAATAAGAAATAAATGTATTTGCCCTGCTTAAGTTCTCAAATCCATGGGTTTCTTTTTTATATCTCAGTGTAACTCGAAGCATGCAAGCCTACATGTTTAAACAAATTACTATGCATTTAACGATTTCAAGGCATTCAATGAAATACATGGCAATGTTGTGTAAATATAAGTATGCAAATCTTTTACAAAGGAATTATGCTTCTGATTGCTTAACAAATCTAATATTGTAAGGCACACGGCAATTCAAATCAAGTTTATAGAGATCATTGAACCATACAAACCTTAAGTCAGAAGACCACAGAATGTTTACAAGAACAGATAATTCATGACGAAAAATTAAAAAGCATGCATTGACTTTAACTTTTAAAAGAATATATGAGCTTGTAATATAAATACACGTGAAGGATTAACAATGTAAAAATTTTATTTCAAAATCAATCACGAGTGCGCATTTAAACATGCGGGGCTGTTGGTTACGTTGATTATTTTTCAAAATGAAACCACTTATTGTGAGATGATATGAAATATTTATCACCAATTTATATTCCTATCCTAAGAGGTTGAGTTTTTTTTTATATACATTAGCCAAACAGCCCTCAAGCCAGTCTGATTAAATCTCCATCCTGTATTCCAGTCAAATGTCCTTGTGTGGTAAGTAAAAGACAAACATATTAATGTTGTGATGTTGCACCCTTTCATGTCCACTGACCTGGGGCTGATGAGATTTATGTTTCGATTAGTTAAAACACAAATCCCGTTAATTGATCGGCCGAGATGGCGGCACATCGCGGCGGTTAATGCGCCGAGGTTATGATTTTTTTTTTAACGCCGAATCAATCTCATATGCTCAGGATGATCCTGTCAATGTCATTGGCGGGGATTTTGGCGTCTGCGTCCTCCCCGCACACGCGGAAGACGATGTGGGCGTTGTAGGGAATGACGGCGGTGCCCGTGCTCGGCTGCCATCCCCAGCTCCTGCCGCCTCGCTCAAACATCCTCACGGTCACCTTCCACGCGGCGCAGACAAACCGCACACGCGCACGCGGGAACACACACGCACGCGCACACGCACATACACGCAAACACGTGAACAAGCGAATACGCACGCCGGCATGACGTGAATGTGAATGCGCGCACGCACGAATGTGACATGCACGCGCGCGCAACAAAATGTACACGCACGGGCGCACACACACACACGCACAGGTACACGCGCATGCACAAACGTACACACGTGTACACACACACGAACGCACACACGAACACAAATGAACACATGAACACAAGTGAATATAAACAGAATTGCTTAAAACCACACATGGATGCACATGTGCACACTCACCAACATGTATGCGTGAATGACTAAATTAATAGCAAAATCGTTCGCGTACACGCGTACGCACGCACGCACGCACGTACACGCACGCGCGTACACGCGCGCACGTACACACAAAGATCAAAGATCCCCCATGTAGCCTTAACAGACTGTAGGGGCAAGTGCTGTTAGCGAGCACCTATGAAGGCCGTGGAACGGTACACGAGGGGGTGGTTGGCCAGCACCACGCCCGACCGCCTTTGTCTCTCAAGTGGCGATGTTTACACACCGCACCAGGTACTCATTTGAGGCTGAGTCGACCTAGGGGAGGCCCGGGACCGGTTCAGATAATCGTCACTGGTGTTGGCACGTACACACACGCACGTACACACACGCACGTACACGCACGCACGTACACGCACGCGCGCACAATTCGAGGACCATCATGAGCCAGGCTCAGGCAAGATTACGCAACACTTCTACCTCCCTCGCAAGGATTCTACGAGGTGCACGGGACCATATTATATTTTACGCACTCGGTGGAACTGGTAAATTGGAATTTTTATGCTATGCAATTTCCTGCTGCTTGTATTGGAGTTTTGCAAAACTGGCATGTATGGCAATACATTCTGGCCCCTTTTGGTGTGTATGTATGTGTGCGAGGCTGTATTTGTGGTGAAATGATACCATTAATGAAAGCACTGCAACATTACATATTTCATATGGCTTGATAGCTATATAATGTAGTTTTCAGTAAGCAGCCATCCCAATTTATGTGGCTGAAAGATGTGAAAGCATTAAAAACGCAGTCCATTTTAAAAGATGCGGTTGGTTAGTTTACGGTTAGTTAACCTTGCCGCGGGGTAAGTTACCATAAGTTACAGGATAATAAATTGTTTTATTGGGCTAAATTTGAACTTATTTCTCCCTTATTCCCCCAGTTAACCTTGCAAAAACGTATTACGACACGACGGTCCGGTACGCATTCATCCGTTCCTCCACCTGTGCCGTTTGCCAATTTGCGCATCACTCAATTCTGCAAGCACAATAACCCGAGAGTTGGTTAACCAACCAGTGACGATTTAAGATCATGGCCTGTGAAGTGCTTCATACCCGATCACACTTTGGACTACATTCAAAGCGCACACCAAAACAAATAAAACCAGCACCCATTTACACTAACTTGAATAATTAGAGGGGTCTGTGCAGCTCACTTTAGGCGAGCAAAAAGATTTATACGACAAATTGAGAGCGGTGAGATGGGTTGTTTTTTTTCAAGGCAAGGCGACATTTTTGTCAAGGTTCATGTGGATAATAAAATACACCACACTGATATATTATACACCTGCAATTTGGAATTGTCTACCTTGTTTTCTTTCACATCAATGCTGCCTTTAACGGATACTTGACTGTCTCAAACAATGTATGCTCATCTCAGATGCCCCTCCAACAATGCTCCATTCATATCCTTTAGTTATTCACCGCTATTCTCCTCTCGTCATGTGGAAATAAGAAAATATACAAGGGTAGATCGAGCTCAAATATCCAGTCAAGGACATCATCGGATGCGGAAATGGACTTGTGTCACCATCCTGCCAGGAACCGAGTATCAGGGGCGACTGTTCACGATGCTTTCCATTGTGCGAAGTTCACCACATCTGTGATGGGGATCGTCCTGTAATAATCGCCTCTTGGGCATCAGATGTGATCCACATCGCCCGTGTGAAGTCTGCACGTGGTTTATGATCACCCACTGCCACTGGGATAGCGCAAAGCGAGGAGGTTTTGGCTGGAGGACTGCAATACCACTTTGCTATGGATTCCTTCAAGGCCCTATCCTTGGGTTATCTTCTTTTCTATATTGACTCTATCCTTGGTAAAGCCACATCCAATACATTTGAAAGTGACTGCAGTTGCATTTCTGTTTTCTAATTGTTACTGTCGTGACGAAAAAAGACTCACCCTGGGAAAAAAAACAAAGCAAAAATGTAAGATTGCAAGCCATTATTTCACACATGCATAAACACAAAAAGGCAATGTTACACATTGTTGCATTATAATTGCATTGATTTGGATGTACACATATACCGAATGAAATGCAATTTTATTTTAAATTGCAAAAAAATCTATCTTACATACACAAAAATATCTAGCACTCTTGCGCACAATGAAGAATTAGTTAAATAAAGGACAAGTTAAGACTCGCCGTGCCGACCAATGCTACTGTCACACCAACACAAAGTCTCATCGCATTGAATTGAAATCCAAATGGTCCTCATGGCGAACGCATGGTTCCTGGTGGGAAAAACATCTGCTGCTAAACATGCTTGACCGTGTACAATGCGACGGATTAATTGTAGGTAATCAAAACTCGAGTCAAATGCACACCACCACCCACATAATCCTAATTACTGCACATAAGGCAAATTAAATACATCAGTTCACCACTTTAGGGAATTTCACTTTTAATAACCGTTGAGTGTAATGAGTTCATTACAGCACATGTTGTTAATGTGAGATCAAGTCTGAACTCTGATCCTTCCACATTTCCCCCTTCTCCCAACCATTAATGCAATTATTTCTTACAGCTCTCTATATCCTTCACTGTTTTCCATGGGCCACACTGCCCGAAAACGCGCCTGTCTCTCGGGCAAGCAAATCTCTCCCACGCTTTGCGATCCCTTAGGTTCAGAGACAGCAGCAAGATGCTAATAGAAGCCCTGGGCAAAAGCACATCAGCCCTGAATTATTGAGCTACTAAACCGTAACCAATTTCAAGCCACAGGCAAAGGAGACAGACCCATAAAGTACTGAACATTATTAGAATGACAAGCCCCGTGACGATGTTGGTTTAAATAAATTAGAGTGAATTAATGTTGAATGTTCTCGGTAAACTGAGGGTGCTAGGGGCTAAATATGTGTTACTGTGACAACTGCGAAGCAGAACGATTCCGTTTCAAATGCAGGGCAGCCCAAGCAAGCCAGATCGCATCCAATCAGTACAATATGTTTTCCAACTCTGATTTCACATAGTTGCTTTAAAAAAAAAGGCTACTTTATTTATGAGGTTTTATTTTTTGATATTCAACGAACCATAATTTGAATAAAACTGTACAGAAATGTCCTGCTGCCACATGCCGGTGGTGGCAGGCAATTAGAAACATTTTGTCCAAAGTTGCAGATGGGAGAATATTGCAAGACTGTATTTTACACGTGGATTAGAGCGTTATTCGTGTTTTCCTATCCTATACCCAAAATAAGTACGGTGTATTGTACGGTGCAAACAGTGCAACGATACCGTCATGCATTATTCACAGCATTTTATTCTACTGTACCTAATTGTAATGCAACAACTGTTTTTTTTTTACCCAGTTGGTAACCAACATATTTATTATTTAGGTTCTAAGATTAATTTAGATGACCTGATACCGCACTGCTTGAGATGACTGGATTTCCAGACTGCAGAATTTGATGGTTCTAACCTTTCCCGTAGGCCACAATAAAAGACACCGCACGGAAGATGTCACCGCATTCATCAGCTGGTGAGGTCGCACCCTGTTCCTTTTATCTACCAAAAAATGAGCGTGCGTGAGGCAGAGCGCTTCCGCGCTTTGTTCACCGTCTCTATTAAATCTAACAATAACTTCATTAAGGATTTTCTGTTATTCAATTGCTGCAGCTGCCATCTATTTTCAAAGAGGAATTAATGGTGTTGTATATATTTTTTTTCAATCTAAAAAGCTCTCCCCCGGAATACATTACCATACTATTTACCAGTCCCCTATTTGTTGTCATTTGAGGGGGAGCTCAATTTAACCGTATCCCTCCGCTTTTATGTTTGTCACCTGTGAACCTCGCCTCAGCTTTACCGCAATTCAGTTTGCCAGAAGTCACCCTCTGCAGTAAATCACAGGCCAATCATTTTTCTGTGCAGAAACCGACTTTAAACACACAATTCTCTCCATTCACATCAAAGGCAAAACAATACGACGGTTTAAATTGGAAGAAGGAAAAAAAATATCACCTGCCCCCCCCCCCTTCCTCCACTCCTTCCAACCCCCCATCCCCCGTATATTTAATTTGTATTGATAAATGCACTGGCATGAGAAATGTACAATTGCGTTATTGTGCATGTGCATGACGGCACAGAAGTTAAGCTTCGTGTGCTAAATGATTCCCCAGGTGAAAATGTGATCAACCACATTTTCACAATCACCCCTTAAGTAGAGAATTGTGCGTGACCGTCATTTTGTCGACAGGCTTTTACTTAGCAACAGGCATCAAGGGTGACGAGGTGAATGCACAAACGAGGTGAATAACCTGCCTAATAACCGGTGCCATTATCTTCCTCGTAACACATCTGCGTCTGACAGCAAATACGTTCAGTTCAGCAAGAAAACGACCTATGAAGGTTTTGTTCACATCCGTTTAACTAACCGTACCACACAGATAATTAATGCACCTCCCACCTTGTATACAGATATAGTTTATATCATCTTCTTGGTTCTTTCGGTAAAGTCACGTAGAAGGGAAATAATAAAATTATAAAAATAAAACATAATAAAATCATTATCACGACGTTTCGGCCACAACGCAAGCAGCCGTCCTCAGGTGAAGAACAGGGGACCTGTCTTTCCGACAGACCTGTTCTTCACCTGAGGACGGCTGCTTGCGTTGTGGCCGAAACGTCGT